TTATATAAATATGTTAAGTTGTAAAAATATTGCAAAATATTAAGGAACAGTTTAATTAGTGCAATAAAGTGTAATCATTACTTGATACATTCAGAAATCCACATAAAAAGATTTTAAAAAAATGATATAAGAATCTGCACTCCTGGAATTATTGCAGTTTAGTATTACACTGTAAAAGATCTTTTATAGAAGAAAATATGGCAGTGAAATAGTTTGTATTTTATAAATGATTTCATGTATAAAATGTGGAATTGACGCCTATGACAAAATTTCCCAAGATGTGAAAATGTGAGCCTTGAAAAATGCCCAATTCATGGGGTTAATTTTTTAAGCATTAAAATGGACATAATTTCGAAAGAAGGAAGACAGGAAGAGCGACAAAGAAAATTGAATGTTTCCTCATCCATCATCAAATAATTCTTATGTCTTTGGGTCTTCATTTAAAGACCCTTAATTAAAGTATGATTGATGCTTCATGTGTGACCCATGATTCAGATGTTTCCTCTTTACCCTTCTCTTCACTATTAACCCTTCAACTGCTATGGGTCGGCTGACTGGCTCACGCCACATGTATCGAGCTTCTAGGCCCCCTTGTGTGAGCTGTGTTCTCACTCACACCTAGATACCGCACTAGACTTTTCAGTTGTCAGCAAGTCCTAGCAATAATCGAAAGCACATCTGCACGAATGAACTTTTCCAAACTCTTCAGGGACATCACGGTTACGCATCCGATCTCATCCAGACTCTCCCAGCAACTAACTGAGTGTAATAACTCGTCAAGGGCCTACCGCACAGAAATATTTTTCATATCAACTCGTCTAGAGCAAAGGGTTTAACATAGGTTAGTTATTATCACATAAAATAGCTCAAATACAACTATTAGAGTGTCATCCACCTTAAATGAAGAGCAAGACTACATAAAATATTGGCCAAAACTCATCAGATTTCTGTCTCGAAGATCAAAGAATGAAGTTCATCGTCAAAGATTTGTTGATTATCTTTTGCATTGTAATATCTGCCATGACATACATGCTACAATATGTAGACTCAATTAAATATTTGATTGAAATGTGTATTCTCCAAATTACTGATTCTTAACAGGTATTTATTTCTACTTATTATTCATAAGCATCCTTTATTGTAGACATTTTTTTAGTTTTTAAATATTACCATAGCATTCTTACCCACCACTCAATACAATTGTATGCATGACTTTTCCAATCATTGGGTCTCTGGTGGCTTGCACTGCTGTGTTAGGAGAATTCTGTCTCACGAGTACAAAAATCTCGTACTCTTCATCAACTTTGCATTAACAGTTCCCCTTGGGCCGGCATGATACAAAAGAAGCCTATCACCTATTTGACTGCCTCTATTACATACATTTTTTAAAATCTCTGAATAAAACAATTGCATTTATTGTAATTCTCATTTCATAGATAGGTCTTAATTTTGCACTTCATCAATGTCTTTTTTGTTCTCCCATGTGTTGATTGTCATAATTTGTATAATTGTGTTGAGAATTCTTTGTATAATTGATTTTCAAACCCTTTTGTGGTATTGATGATATATAGTTTGCCTGTTCTCAATATACAAGAAAATAATACACAACTATAGCACATGTCATCCAGAAAGGCAGACTCTTCTCGACCCATTCTGTGCATCTGGAGTCACCTTTCCTTCAGCAAACCAAATTCATTTATGTTCTGTCTTGGATGTCCCCAGTTTCATTCACACTTTCTCCGCCTGCACAACGCCCACCTTTTGAATTGACCTGCATTCTAGTGGTGTTACAGAGAAATTTGTAGGTAATGTATAGGAACTCTCTCTAGGTGCTGCATGTAGTATATGTGCACTGACTTTCTCATACTAGTTAAAAATTTGAAAACTTTTCAGACTTGCTATCTATCTCTGCTAACTGTCTCTATCTCACAATACATTGTTTCTCAGTTTTTAGGTTCCCTAACTGACGTAAGGATTTAAACATATTATTTAGGAGTAAAAATTCATCCTATATGGCAATTTTAGTTGAAAAATTTGGAGCCGTTTTAAAGAAAATGTTGAAGTGTTACTGATATATTTGAAAACACACTTTTATTTCATTTTAAAAAAATTAACAAAAGAATACAACTAAGTAGCATTTGTGTGATACAAAAAGTTCGCGAAACAAATTTGGACCTGTTTTTGAGATAATGGCACGAGAGCATTACCAAAAGTTAAAAGAAAAAATTTGGAACAGTTTTTGAGAATTTCTTGTTTTTGATAGTGCACATATTTCAAGCAATATTGTGTGAATACTACTAAAATTTTCAAAAATATGTACATGACATTAGTGAGTGAACCAATTTCATTTGAATGAAAAATCTCTATCTTCAATTTTGAAGTTGAAGGAAGATCTCAAAAAAAATTGCAAAATTTTGTATTTTTCAATAATGCAGAGTTAACAGTGAAAATCAAACCTATGCGACCTTTGCAAGTATTAGACTCGATTCTTACATTTTAATTTTTAATTTGGAGCCAATTTTGAAAATGTTCCAGGGGCTTGATGTAAAGAACCCTCAAAAATTAAAGAATGTTATTCAAAATCACAAAGCGAGAGAAGATGGGGAGTATTCAGTTTGGAATAAATCATACGCTTAGTTTAGGCGATACTATGTTGACGGACGGACAAGAAAGAAAGGAAACACTCTTTTCCAGTATCAGGGGACACCAAAACATATTTTTATGCCTCTAGAAATTGATTTTCCACAGCATACTTTCTACATATGTAGATAAATGTGAAAGTTAAAACTGGATAGCGTCACTCCAAATTGCATTGTGCTGACCGTTCAAAATTTTTTGCATTGTTAGGGATACAAAAACATGGTGTCTGCCCAAGTGTTGGCACTTTTGCCTGCAACGTTTCATAACTTAATAAGCAGTATTTGAGCAAGTACAGAAAAGGATACCAATTTTCCAAAAGCAGCTTCAATTTTATGAAAATGTGCTCTTTTGTATTATTCCTCTGTAACTAGTGACGCCAAGAAAAAAGGTGGAAAAATGTAGATAATTTTGCATTTTGCAACATTGTGAATGAAATCAGTAATAGATTTTTGAGCTTCATTTTCCACATTATTTTAGGTTTTCTGTTCTCTTTCTTTACCTTTTTCTCACAATGAACTCTTGTCCTTGAGGGGCAGTTCTTTCAATGACAAGCTCTGGCTGTTGTCAACTGGTGTATTGTTGGCTAAAAGTGATTTCTCTTGTCTGCTTCTGGGAGAGATGCCCACTAGTTCTGGGGTTTGCCTCTTAAATAATTTTCAGAAAAGGTTATGGCATTATTCTTTCAGCAGGAGGGGTAGACATTAAAGCTTCTGCAAGTGCCATTTTGAACTTAATTAAATCCTTAATTTTGTTCTTTGGAAAATGGTTTTCCTTAGAGTTCTCACAATATTGCATTCTACAATATTGCAAAATTCACCACTGCTAAATTCAGACAATGCAGAATTACTCTCAAAGTAGACTTTTTTTTATTTCAATCCATGTTTGAGGTTTGATTGAATTCCATTATTTAATTGAATATATGTCCTCTCACATCTGCCAATTCTCCAGGTGACAGTTATAGGAAGATGTGGTAATCCATCATCTGCTATCTGAGCCAACGTTGTCTGATTTATCCTGGTACCTGGTATCTGAGAGGTCACGTATTTCTGAATCATCAATGTCCAAAATACCAAGGATGAATATCGGCATCTATTTCAAGCTTAAAGTGGAGTGTAAATACATATTCGTAGTATTCTTTTTTGTGATGAAGACCTGAAATATACAAATGTGTGTGCACATATTTGGAGGACAGATATAGTTAAAAGCAACAAGGAATAATATAATTTGCTGTGTTGAGAAAATATATGTAGTTTTAAAAAATATTTATAATCCTATTATTTATATTATAATCCTAATTGTATGCAAGTTTGCACAAGAAAAAAATGTTGCTACAATTTTTAACAACCTACCACAATGTGTATTGTTCTGAATGCGAAGAAAGCATGCATGCATGGATTTAGGACTACCTACAGAATTGTGTTGGGGGTGTGTGAAAGGGATATACTGTATCAGATTGTGATAAAAAAAAGTGATGGTCAAGTTAAAACTTCCACCAGCCTCAATACAATCCAGACTACAGGTTTATCTAGATTTTTTGCTATTTCAATAAAGTGCTAGAAACATGTGTTCCTCCACATCGCATTCTTGTTTTTCAAAATGTCTCTCCAGTTGCTGCTTTGCCAATCCATGTTTGTTTTGTTCAAAATTAGCAATGTTGCATAATACAGTATCTTTTCTCTAGTCCAGACCACAAATAGCTGAATTTAGTGTATTATGGCCCTGAAAATGCACAAAGCATCATCATGGCCACTTCCTCTACTCATATCTGTCCCTTTCCCACTCTGCAACAGAAATAGTGTTTTGGCTGAAAATTGAAAAGCCTTTGGTCATTGTTCCTGAGAACAAATTATAAAATAATTTAGCTGAAAATCTTGCAAATTAAATCTGCAAAGAAAAGAGAAAGAGAGAGCCTTGTTTTACTAGAAGCACTCGTCCTTCTGTGTCTGGTCTGAAAAACTGAGAGAAATGTTTGAATCAGGTGAGTTGAATTGGATGACCTCCAGTCTCTTCAAAACTGTCCATGAAGTGTAACGTGAGACTGTGGTGGTATCCTGCAACTCATGTATTCTCAAGAGGTTGCCCTGAGTGATGAAATACAAAGGACAGAAGAATTCATCAACACAACCCAACATTATCAATTCTGTACGTAATACACTTAGGTTACTGGAGAGTGAACTCACAGCATAATGTGTATTTATCAACCAGATAGCTCTTGAGTTATGTACTATTCTACACAATTTCCAGACTAAGTAGTTCAAGCAGTGAATGATTGTTTATCCAGATTTACCTGAACTCACAATAGGTTCATGGATTAAACTCTCCATAAATTTAAGGTTTTTTATTTATTTATTTTTTTTCAGGTGATGCTGTTAAGCAAGAAATGTTGATTAAAGATGAAGTCACATCCCAAGAAGAAATTGAAAACCCAAGTTCAGTAACTGATACAGAGCTAATGCAAGTTGCAGAATGTGATTCTACAGTTGTCAAGTCAGAGGATAATGATGTAGATACTCCAATTGAGGAGGAAACTGCAACCACCGTACCTGTTGTACCTAAAGTAGACACAACACATACAGAAGTTGCATGTTCGATAGATGGCAATGTTAAATTTGAAGATAAACCTCAAACAGCAATTGCTGGTCCTATTAGTGGTAAGATTAAAATTAATATTACCAAACCACTGCCTGTGCTTATCCGAGAAGCACAAAGTGAAGGAGATGCTGAAAGCTCAGCAGCTGAAGGTGATGCTGACGACACAGATGAAGCACCGCAACCTCAACCTCCACCACCTCAGAATGAAGGATCTGCTGCCGATGTTAAAGATATGGTAAAAGAGCCTACGTTAGAACAGGAATTCCCAGAGCCACCACCACCAGGGATAGAACCTGTCCGGCTAAAGCCGAGGCTAGTGGGTCGCAAACTCACAGAGATGCCTCCAGTCATGAAAGGAACTGAATTGTCTGGTCTGTGTTCAATAATGTAAACGTTGCCTTTTCAGCCTGTGAGTGAAGTGTTGAGTGTGTGGGTGCACATGAATTATTTATTTTAAACAAAGGGCCTTGATGTACATTTTATGCCAGTTGTTGATAAGGATTGTGATTGTTTGCCAGCTAGCTGATGAAGAAAAAGTGATAAGCAAAATTGTATTTTGCATTTATGAACTGATCTTTTCAGGATTAGTGATTATTGTATCATATGTGTAAAGGACCTCTTTTATTGTGAATATCTGTATATAATTGATTTTTTTGAAGAAAGAATATTTTGTTACATAAATAATGTTCATATCTTTATCCTTTTCCTCTCCCTCTGAGTTTTTTTTCTTTCCTTTTTTTATTTACACCAAAAGTACACTCAGCATCCCAAATTTGCATTGTTTGCATAGTTTGCATAGTTCTAGGGTGAAGGCAAAGCTTACTACCACTTCAGTTTGTAAAATGGTAAAAGATAATAAAATAAATTACACTAAAAATGTTTGTTCATTTTTTTCACCTATTCCAAATTACAAATATTATGATTAATGAAAAAACTAGCCATTTTTATCACTTCTAGAGAATGCAATTATGAGGCCACCGAGGAAAAGGAATAGTATCTTTAATGTTGGCTATTCCTAGTAATAATTGTAGGAACCTTTCAAAACCCATTCCAAATCCAGATGTTGGTATATTTCCAAACTTTCTCAGTTCAAGATACCAATCAAGACCCTGCGACTGGCCAATTTGTTTCAATTTTTGTTCCAGGAGAATGTAGTCATTTTCCCTAACACTTCCTCCACATAATTCACCCACATGTGGAACCAGTAAATCTACAGCTGCCACCTGCAACAGAAAATTTGCAAATAGATTTTCATTATTATTGAAATTTTCACAAAGTATCCTCATTATTCCAGTTTCTCAATTATTTAGGACTGTCAAATATTTCAAGACAAATTACACTGCGGTCAAAGATTATGCTTGATGTAGAAATTGCAACATTCGTGGACTGCAATATTGGCTCAACTCAAAAATGTAGTTTTGGGATAGTCATAATTGACGATTCATAATTTTGGGTTGGGCCTATGTTGCAAGCTCATCCTAATGAAATTCCATTCTCTAATATTAAGTATAAAAAAATATATATATATATATATATATTTATCTATAAATATTTTTTTCAGAAACACTTATTTATGTTCAGAAAGAATAATTGGCATTGTAGAAAGTGTGATCCCCACGCACATATTCAGCCCCATGCAAGTACCCTCATACAAGTACTAATATTATCATATAACATGCATATATATTGGCAATGGTTCTTTAACAAGTTTTCTCCTATTTTCCTCCCATTTTCATTTAGTATATATTAGAGCTCGGATATGTATGCAAATTTTAGTTTTTGTGCAAAATGTTTCTTGCCAATCAAATTTCTGAATGAATGGCCATAGAATGAATAAGAATAAATTTCTGAATGAATAAGAACTTTTGGGCCAAATATTATTTTGGGTATTACAGCAACTTTTGAAAAAAAATAAGGGGGAGAACTCATTAATTTTGACCTTCTCAGAAGTGTTAATTATTGCTTATCTCCTGATTACAAAAACATCTTATAGAGAGTAATTGTGCATTTTATAGCACTCGTCAATTCAAAACTTCATGAAAATGCTAAATAAAAGTGCATTTTTCCTTTTTTCAAAATCTTACTTTTGTACTTATTGACACTACATTCCATTTTCATTTAGCATTCTAGTTAACAAGATATTTGCTACTTCTTGAGCTATTGCAAAAGTATAACTTCCTTCAATGAAGTATCTGCAATTGGAAACTTTCAAGGACATTTCTGCGATTGAAATTTTCATGAATTCCAATGGAGCAAAACAAGATGCAGTATTTCTAAATTATCTTTCTTTTTTCTCTTCTAAAGCCAAATGCACTCACCATTAAAAAACAATGAGGATACTAAAATTATTTAAATCGTTTAAAAAAATTAATAACAATATTCAAGAAGAATAGAAAAGAGGATGCAACATAACCAAGATAAACTCATAAACTGCTATTTTTGTTTGATGTTTACTTGATTTAAAAAAAAAATTAGAGATGTTCTGGAAAAAATCATTGAAATTTCTAATTAAACAGTTGTGAAAGAAATAGGTATGCCTCCATGCATTGATGAATACTGGAATGAACTCCATTTTTGTAGCAAAATTAATAAGGGTATCTTTCTCAATGAATTTTTGCTTGTGGACATTATCATGGAAGAATACCCAACAGATATTGTTAGTTCAATAAAGAAATACAGTGATGGTGAAAAAGAAAAGATATGAAAACCTTCCAAAATTCAAATGTTAGCAGCTATTGAGAAAATTCGGTGGGGTTTTCGAATGAGAGAAAATGTTCCAGATGAAGTGTTTCAGTAGGTGTGAACAGTATTTGAACAGAGAGCATCATATGTGCAACAAGAGAGTCGAAACATTTTTTCTGAAATTTCAGTTTAGGGATTTGGTCAGGTACATGTGCAATACTAATTTCATGTTACTATTCGTCAATATATGGTATAAATGATAAAAACTTAATTATTTACTTTTGAATTTTCTGTTTTACCCAAATTTGTTTAAAAGCATTTGTTAAAATTTCATAATTATTTCTATTTATTGAATATTATAGAAGGAACAATCAGATTCAAATCATGAAGGTCCAACTATATTTACATTTTTTTTTGTGAGTAGTTACCATAGAAGACACATATTTTTGCCGAAAACCAATTAAATGCAATAATTAAGGATTTAACGTCCTTAGACAAGACAAGTATCTTAAAGAGCCATCAAAAAATCATATTCCTGTTTGTCTTGTCACTTGATACTCTTCTTTTCTTCTGCACATGTACAGTGCATATTTTTCTATGTGACCAGCTGTATCCCTGTATAAGTTTTGTTAATCACATATTATATGGTATCAGCATAACTACTAAAATATATTTTTTATGTTAAATACAATGTGTAGTGTAATATAAGGTAATGTAGTAACCTTGCCAACTATCAAGATTATCACAAATTTTATTTAGTGCGATCAAGCCTAGTTTTAAATGTTCCAATATTTTTTACCTCCACACATTCATTTGATACCTTATTCCAAGTATTAACTACTTGTAATAAAATGAGACTGGTTGTTATATCAATTGATTCTGGACCACTGCTAAGGTACTGTGTGTAGTACATATTTTTTACTGTGGGAGGGGTTGGTGATGTTCCCTTGCTGGATGGCAAAATCCTGCACCGACTTGCCCATCAGCTTGTCGTTTTTTTCCCAACCATTTATCTCCTACTAATGTGGTACCACCCTAGCTGGGAGCTCTCAGCTCCCAACTGGTCTTCCAAAAGAGGAATGAAAGCTTGAACATGGTCCTTGGCCCATTCATAAGTGGGTTAGTGGTTCTACTCCAGCATTCATCTGGTGATGATCAGAGAACCGATGGAAAACTACCTATCAGAGTAGCCAACCATTAGAATTCTCCTCCAGACAGCGGCTGAATTCAATCTATTTATGTAGCAAGTGTCGAAAATCCTATCAGGACTCGAACCTTAGATCCTCCTGTTTAGAGGTACTGATATGACATCAATTGATGCCCTGGACCACCTAAGCCAGTTAATTATATCGAGTTATAGTGAATGAAAGACCACCATTCTCAACGCCTTGTTCTTGGAGCAGACACTGAAACCCATATATTGCATGTGAATTTATACCCGTTAACAGACCACCCTCTCCCCAACCATCGACCAGCCCCTTAATAGAAATTTTTTCAATTTACCCCTTTAAAGACCACTTTCAGCAAACAGTGTACGAATATTATAAACCCAATTTTCATTAGTAGAAATGGAAACTGGCTACTTAGACATCATTCGAGCTACACAGAAGCAGTGTGACAGCAGATATGAAAGTTACCTGTTTAAATCTTTGAATAATCAGTCTTTCTTACTGTACACTGAAAGAACTAAGGTAGGGTGAAATATCTAAGTCAGAAAAGTAATTGACTTGGTGTTCTTTGGGGGGGGGGGGGGTAAAAATGCAAGGTTTTGAGTTTCTTAGATATAGTGTCATGCACAAAACAAGGGGGAGAAATTCATTTTCAGTAGAAGATTGGGAGTATTAAAACTGTGAGCAAGTGCTTTACTGAAACCAATGCGTTATCTGTTTTTACCATCTATTGGACTTGAGATGAATGTTACACAGACTCAAGCTGTACAGTTCAGGATGGCAATTACTAACAAAGGTGGACATATTCTGTTGAGACACAAATGTTAATAAATTTATTTTTACCAAATTGAGAAAATTTAATACTTTAATTGTTCTTCCCTACCTTCAATGTGTCTGGCATCAATTTCATGTAGAAAGGTTTTAATGCTTGAGGCCATTCCACAACAAAAACAGGAACCTTACCAAAATAATTAACTAAAAATAGTTCCTGTTCCTTGTTCAGTCCTTCTGTGACTTTAGGGCCTTCAAAATGCTGATTTATTATTGAGCATGCTTCATTAAAATTCAACACTTGAAAAGGTTTCTTAATTAAATTGTTAACATGTAATTTAGCCTCTTCATCTTGCAGCATTCTTATATCTCTTTCACACTCATTAGCAACTTCTGTAGTAATGTTTTTTATAAACTTTTCCATCATTTTAAGCAAATCATCTAAGTTATCCATGAAAGCAGCTTCAGCTTCAAGCATATAAAATTCTGAAAGATGGAGACGAGACCGAGAATTCTCAGCTCTGAACGTTGGGCCAAACGTATACACACTTCCAAGACCTCTGAAAAAAAATTAAATTCAGCTAATAAGTATGATCCAAATGACATGCATGAATTCAATGGATGATTAAAGTACCTTGCCATTGCTTCTAAATGCAACTGGCCAGATACAGTTAAAAATACTTTTTTATCAAAGTAAGCTTCTTCACATGATAACCCCTGTTTCATCATATCCTTCAAGTGAGTTTCATTTTCTGGTCTTGCTAAAAACACTTCACCAGCCCCTTCACAATCATTAGCTGTCAGGATAGGCGTATGAATATTAAGATATCCTTCATTGCTTAAATATTTATGTATTGATCTGCTAGCAGCACTTCGAATACGTAAAATGGAACTGAATGCACTTGTACGAGATCTAAGGTGCAAGAATTTGCGAATGTACTCGGGAGGATGAGACACTTTTCCAGCAAAAGGAAATCCTTCAGAGTGTATGCATGGGCCCAGAATCTTCAATTCATCAGCTCTCAATTCCAATTGCCCATTAACATTCTCAGTTGTCTTGCCAATAACTTCCACTGATGCACCAAAACTTAAATAATCAGGTTTGAGAGCCTTAGGCAATACAATTTGAAATTTATCAGGGCAGGAACCATCATTCACGTCTATAAATAAGTTGTCTTTCATTTTTCTAACAGTTTTTACCCATCCCTGCAACACAATTATATTAAAAGATAAGTATTTCATGTTTAATTCTGAAAAAAAAAAAGAAAAGTATTCAACCACCTTTATAGATGTCTGGGTGCCCAATGGCCTAGTGGCTAATATATCTGCAATCCTAAGATTCTTATATTCACTAAATGTGGAAACATTTCTGACAAGTGGTTTTGGAAACCAAAAACATTTCAATGTGTGAGACATTTCGGATTTAGAATTAATACACACTAGCGCAAGTTAAATTAAAGAGCTATAACTGACTGTCCTTCACACTGTTTACTGTAATTAAAAATTAATCTAAAATGTTTCAAACATCTTCCAAAATCTGTCCCCTAATACCGTTGTTCACGTTCGATAAGAGAAGTCCATTGATAAATTTCGATGAACATATTATCTCAATGTAATTGCGTTTATTTTGATTTGAATAACAGCTTCACAACATTTTGTTAGATTATTATCACTAATACTACAGCGCTTTGTTTCATTATTATCACTACAATAACACTGAGACCGTAAGTGTCTGATACATATCCATTTCCAACGTATGTTCCAAACTCCTTGCTTGCAAACCACCACCATAGGATGTACATAAATATCGATATTTTCAAGTCGATATATCAGAAAGGCGAACAGGAGGGAGTACAGTGTAGAGAGTAGATATGGATAAGGGTAGGGATTAAGTATTGAGTTGCTTGCGATCCGCATGCAACTCAATACTTGTGGCTCTTGAGGTTTGAATAGTTGTTTTTTTCTGTCTGTGTGCGGGGAGAGGGTCAGTTTCAAGGGGTGCTAATTTTGGTCGTCCGCGCCGCAGACCCCCTATCACCCCCCATGTCCACGGGGACACCACTCAAGGGCCTAGAGTTGTCGTTGAATGATTATTATTGAACAATAATCTGCAATGCCCCCTCCAAAATGATCAGCTAGATCTGCCCCTGGTATCGTCTGCATTTTCTATTCCGTGTGGTGAGTCATGTGATATTAAAGATGTAGCGCAAGTTACACTACAGCGTAACAGTGTGAGCGACTCACAGTTCCACACACTGTTGCCACGCATTCCTACGCACACGGGCACCATTTACGTGAGAGATAAGTGATATCTCAAAATATTATCATTTACCAACAGGCGATGACACGTCTTGATATCATGTTCATAACTTTCGCCACAACCGAAACTTGTCGCCTCCCAAACCGCGTTGAAAGTTTGATGTGTTAGCTCCGGGTGGCGTCGGGCCTATATGCAGTGCAGACGCAACTCTAATCACATTGACGAGAGGTAATAAAACGTCGCCTTTTCGGCTTCGAAAGTTTCGCGAAAACGATACACAAATTCACGAACCTGGCTTCTTTAACAATACTCCACATTTGCGCGATGTGTGGTTTGTGTCCCTCACAAAATTCTCAGCCTCGGACCAGTTTACTGAAGTACTCGGACGTCACACACCGAGTGGCCTGACACGCATCGGCAAAGGCTCAATTCATTGGCATTGATACTACTGATGACAGGGATCTGTGCGCTTCTCGAGCGACTCCATGCCAGTCACATGAGCGGCAACGCTGAACCCTCGTTGTGAGAAAGAAAACAAATTCTCGCAATCTGATTTTTTTAGAGCAGATCACATGACGTACCACAACAAGTGGCGAGAGAACTGTCAGATAGCTTATACGCTGCCGGTTCTGGAGAAGATAGCGCAGTATTTATCCGAAACATGTCTTCGTGAAGAATCATTAGCACTACGAGTACTATACAGTAAGAGTCAAACTCATTGTCAAATTGATTGTCAAATCGATGCCTGAGCCGCTGCCTGAAAGCCATGGTCTGCAAGCCATCGCTCAAGCCACGGCGGGTTTTTGGCTGCGCATACGATGTCTCACCGTTGCGCTGCCGCGCGTCGTCTCAGACCACCGTCCGAACGAAATTTATCTGGCAACGTCGCGTTCTCGACGACGCAAGGCGCTAGTGTTTTGTTTCTCGGAAGCACGTGCGCCTGTTTACATCATAACACCGTGGCTCGGTCCATTTGTTTGTGATCGGTTGAGCAGTTAAGTTGTGCTTCGTGCTGTTTTTATCCATAAAGAAAATAGCAAGGTAAGACCAATAAAAATATTTCTTAAGAGCAATGTATCTTTATTCTAATTCAATGCGTATATTTGCGAATTCTTATTACAACAATTCATAATACAATTAAATCTTCACTTTCCATTCTGATAGTAATTGCAGTTTTATTTTTCAGGATACTTCAACAAAAGCTAAGATAACTGTCAGAAATAAAACACTGATTAATTTAATAAAATAGTTTTATTATGAAAAATGATTTGCAATAATTGTTCCCCTCCATGCCACTCCCTGCTCCTTATCCCTGGCATTTTCTACATTTTCCTCTTCTTCTTCCTCCACAACATCGTAAAATTCTTCCTCCCTTCTCCTTATAGCAACATTGTGCAACACAGCTGTTGCCACAATAATGCGTTGCAGTCACTAGTTTCACTCTGAGAGGAGTTTGGAGGCATGGAAACCGCCTTTCCCAGCTTCCAAAAACCCTTTCAATAATGTTTCTAGCTCGTTTGTGAGCCGCATTGTATCTACCTTCTGTCGCAGTCCTTTCACGAAGAACTGGGGTCAAAAGGTAGCGTGTACATGGGCATCCACTATCACCAATAAGGTGGGCATTATACACGCCACTCTCTAGCACATCTTTTAATGTCGAATTGCAAAAGATTCTGCTGTCATGAGTGGAGCCTGGCCATCTTGCGACAATATTTGTAATATTCATATCATTGTCGCAAACCACCTGAAAATTAATACATTTATTTTGAAGCATACTAACTAATTTGAAAAGAATTATAAAATGGCTGTTAAACTATCATACCTGGCAGTTAATGAATAACAACATTTACGATTGTAGAATCTTTCTGCTGTCTAGCAGGGCATACAATTTTTATGTGGGTTGCAATCAATGGCACCGATAATACCTGAAAGCTGTCTCTGCATGGTAAACAATCAGGGTTAATATCTTGTTCAAACACAAATGTGAATTGTGTTATTACATTGCAAAGCACAAAGAACATGAAAAGTATCCAGCGAACGCGATGCTTTCTTATAAAAGAACTTTAAATTTAAGCTCAATATAAAATGTATTTTTATTTGCTGAAGTTACAGTTAATATTTATTAATGAAAATTGATTAATTGAATGACTTTTGTTAGTATTGGAAATTACTGAAAGCTACATTTTTTAATATGGCATAATGTCTAATGATTTACATGAACAGTACATTACATCAAAGCCTTTGAATAATTTCATTGCACACTACTAAATGTTTATTACATTTGCAATGTTGACAGAAAAATTGCAAATGAACAGTATTAAGTGAAGCCATGGTAAAATCATTGTGATAAATATTTCTGGTTACTGACGTAAAAAAATGTTAAAAGTTTCATGATCCAACTTACCTAGATAATTTGTGCAAATCCTGCTTTTATTCGTACGGGTTCCGCCTGGATGAAAGTACACATAAGAGTATCTACTTTTCAAGACGAGGCAAATTGCCTCCGAAACAGATTTAATGAGGCGACACACCTTGCTCTCGTGTACATTCACAAGATCGGCCGAAGAACATGTGAAGGCATTGGTGGCAAAAAATCTGCAATACACCATTTTTTTCAGTTCGCAAAACAACTCAAATAAAAATATTATTAATACATAAATTAAACTATACTCACCTAAGTACAATTAGTAATTGCAGGTGTACAGGAAGTCCTGAACCGCGCTGTCTTTCACGAGGTTTTCGCGCAATTCTCTTGCGAGATACATCACAGTTTCCTTCGAAAATCGAAATCTGCGACGAAATTCGTGATCGTTGTATTCCTCCAAAAGATTACTGCGATCCGCAGCATATGCATGCGAGGATGCAGTAATCTTCGTCTGTTTTTACACGATCACGAATTTCACGCATTCTTCTTAAATCATTCATAACGCACGTGGAGCAGGTACAGCAAGCAAGGCAGACACAGACGAATGGCGCGAACCTCGCTGACGCGTTGAGACAACGGCTTCAGACATACCCCCATCGATGCTCCGTATATTGAGCCATAGATCGAACCATGTTCCAATATGGCGGTGAAGCAATGTTTTTGGCACGCCGAAATCGGGTGTTCAGGCGACGGCTCTGAGAAGCAGCGTCTCAGACATCGCTTTCGCAATCAACCCTATGGGTTGATCAACCCTATGGGGTGTAGGTTCTCCTAGTTTGGAATACTTAACGACAAATGAAATCGTCCTAAATAAATTGGTTTCTGTTGCTTGAGATGGAGCATCAAGTAGGGCGAGTAACATCGAAGGTTTTGTTTCACTCTTCGAAAAAACAAGATGTGTCACAACGTACTTTTGGTCGCCCCGCGTGATTCATCATGAAGCACTTTGCGCATAGACATTTTTAAGAGTTGTATGTGTGATGAATTTAATTACTAAGATACTAAACCGAATAATGACAAAAGGTATTTCTCACAGTGAGTTTTCTGTTTTATTGGAGGAAATAAATAGCCGATATTCTGATCTTTTGCATAACAAAGTGCGTTCACTGTCCAGAGGCTCTGTACTGAAACGTTTCGCTTCGTGCCATTCCTACTTCAAACTTGTGGTGCTGCAACAGCACGTACTTTCTCGCGATATTTATAATAGCAATGTAATAATTATTATTATGCAATTTCTGTCTTACACTTCAACTACTATTTGAAAATTTTTTAAACAAATGAAGCGTGAAAAACACATATTTTTAATTCAAACGATTGAACGAAAACAGCTTTCTACTATTGAATTCAGTGTCTTCACATTCAACATAAATGTACCAATTATGCGCGATGTTTATTTTCGCCGTAAATAAAATTATTAGTTTATATTAACGGGAACGAATGGTGGCCATCATTATCGCCTTTTGTTATCTGTGCGTTTGGCCTACGTTTTTTGGGGTCCCCCTATCCTACTTTCACCCCATC